AGTAGAAGTGCAGTAATGACTGCACTTCAGGATAGATTCCGTTGACTTTTTTTTTGCATTGGCCCACATCCGTAAAGCAAGATTTATTTGAGGTTCCCTGATTTCCTTGTCGTAAATTGATCATTCATGATCAGTTGTTTTGAAAACCTCATCACATTATCCATTTTTATGGGTCGTCAACCTCGTTGGGACCGGTAATCCGGAAACCATTTGAATAATCGCTGTCAAAAATTCATAGCATGTAATGAAAACTTTTCGAGAGCACCGTGTAAAAAAATAAGAAAAATCTCGCCGATGCTGCTTAAAATAAATAATGAAATAAAATAGAAACCCCCCACGTACGCCCACGAACGTTAACGGGCAAGAATAAGTAGATGAAACGACCAATAAAACCTGGACATGCTGCTTTGTCGAAAGGTCGTTTACGGTCACGAGACTTAGTTTATTGATTTTAGAAATTCAAGTAAAATGTAGAAAAAGAAGGATGTTTGCACTTCGCAGAGCCGTGCGACGTTGACGTTCAATATTACCCGGACAACAAACAGGATTTTCCCTGGTTCACCGAATAAATTATCCTCCGCGAATTGCCAGCTTTGACAGCAGGTGACTCGCTGCTCAGGAATTTCCTCATTAGCCATCGCTCCTGAAAAAAGCCTCATCTTGTCGAAAAAATAGGAACAGCGTTAATAATAAAAAAAGATAATAATTCATCCGCATCGAAAGAAGTGTCGTATGAAGCTGTAGTAAACAAACTTCTTTTTTGGCTGCAGACCGGAGGATTTCTTCCGGTTGATGATGACGGACGTTGTAGTTTTTCGGACATTTTCATTTAACTTTCTGCAGAATCATGTTTGGGGCAGTCCGAAGTCGATTTATACCTTAGTACTGCTTGCAATACTGCTCACTCGCTGATTTCCATACCCACTTTTGCAGCTTTGAATAAATAATCCCGATGTAAATTGTGGGAAGATTCAAGTCTTCGGACTGTAAAATATACGCATGGACTGGTTTTTGAACAGTTTGATCTACTGAACTGCAAAGAGCAGCGTCAAATCGTAGTCAGAAGAAACCCTCTTTCGACAAATGTCAAATTTCATTATTTTAGTGACGTGGACGAAACAAGTATTGAAAAATTCCGAGATGAGTCGCCCACGTACCCTTCAAATAAGTGTTGAAGGAGTTCGTACAAGGGAAGTCCTCTTTTCGCGTGCATTATAATTTGCAAGCAGCCAGCATTGCTACGCATTTTTATTGGTTGGAGTAATATTCCAGTGTTATCGTAAAATATTTTCTGAATTGTTCCATGTTTGCAGACTGAAGCAGTGAAGATATTCTGTCCAAGTTCCACGCACTCCTAGGAAAAAAAATATTAATTGCTTGAACGCGGAAAACTCTTTGATAGGACGCTAAATCGTATATCTTTCACGACTTTGCGAACTTTTGCCGGAATAGGAAAAGATTTAAACTTTGTCTGCATTTAATTGGGGAATAATTTCTTCGTGCTGCCTTTTTTAATTGTATACTGTGAAGAGAGATGTCTGAAAATCAAACTGAAGTCTTATTTAACGACAAACAATCCCTTTTCATTTTGAGATGCGCTCATTTTTTCGAGCGTCAAAAATAGAAAAAAAAATTCAGTTTGTAATTTCAGTTTGTTTAATTGCCTTCAAAGTCTCCAGAGTTAGAGGAATCTAAAAATTTGTACTGAACTTATTTTGTCATAGATACAGTATCAGCAGAAAGATCTATCGTGTCCTCAAACTGAAAATGTAATGTACGGTATTACGCATTTGTTTGACTTATTTTTATACGACTCCGATAGGAACGTCTTGTTAGCCACAAGCAATCACCCATTTCTATTGTTCAAATGAAAAGTACGAATCGTTCGTATTTCTTCAAGTCCATCATTTGTGAAAATATTTTTCATCCTCTTTTCGTTGGAAGAAGGTAATCACGATCCAATACCCAAATTTAATTTTCGACTGGTTTTCAAATCTCTTCTATTACTTTCTCTGCCGTTGTAAGGCAGATGTCAATCACTAACTTTTAGCTGTGTCTAGTTTTCAAATTTCTTTTTTGATGGACTTCTGTCCAATGCAGGGTAAGATTTATTTGTAGCATCCAGTATATCCAAATTTAATTTTGAACGGTTTTCGAATTTCTTCGTTGGAGTTCTTTATAATGCAGAGCACGATTGAATTCAATCATGCAGTATATAATTTTTTTTTTTTTAGCTGTGGCTAATTTCCAAATTTCTTCAATTGACTTCCGTTTGATTCAAAAATACGACTGCATTGCAATCATTCCAGATGACGGAGTGCTGATGAGCTCGACCGGATTCTCAGCCCTGATCGCACTGTCCTTCTGCTCAGTGCTGATCTTCATCATAGTCGGCTTCCTGGTGATGCGCGTGATGGCGACCCAGTGGCGCCGGGAATGCGCCCCCGACGCCGACCTGGACGCCATCTCGTCCCCGGGCTCCGGCGCCAGCCAGTCCGTCCCTGGCTCCACGCCCCGCGACCCGAACCCGGATCCCAGTGGCACCACGGCTGCAGCCCTCATGCTGCCGCCTCCCCGCTGCGCCGCCCAGGTGCCAGCCACGACCACCAGCCACCACCACAACCGCTACTACCACCCGCGGCGAGACCGGGCCAGCTGGGACGACGACTGTGACGACCGGCGGCAACTCGTCAGCGGCGGCGGCGGTGGTGGCAGTAGTAGTAGTAGTAGTTGCAGCAGTAGCAGCAGTTGCTGCTCCGGCGGAGATGATTTGCTGCCGGCCAGCACCCACCACCACCACCACCACCGCCACCGTCATCTCCACCGGCATAATCATCACTATCGCCATCATCACCACAGACGCCACCACCCGCCGGTGGTGCTGCGGTCCTGCGAGGACGTGGTGTGCGACTGGGGCGTGCGGTTAACCGACACCGTGGCGTGATTCCGCCCCACGGAGTCGACAGGAACCGACCTTGTGATTTGTTGTTCTTTCTGTCGTCTCACTCCAAAAACAGACACGGAGGATGGAGGACTGAGGTGCGAACGGAAAAGAAAAGGGGGAGAGATAAAGGAGAAGGAGGGAAAAAAAGGGGAGGAAAGGTAGGATTTCTACAATTGGGAAGGCAAAAAAAAAGGGGGGAGGGGAGGAGGAAAAGAACATCTGTGTGTATGTGTGTAGGAGGTGAACCTTGAACACAATGCTGCAAAGAGCTTTCGCGTCGGTTTCCAAGGAATAAAACTTTTCGCCGCGGGGGTCTGCATGCTGTGTGGAAATCCTCCACCCATGTGTGCGTGTTGCCTGCCAGCAGAAACCATCATGTGAAATAAAATTTCAATATTCAGATTAAACCCCCCCCCCCTCCCCACCAAGGAAGCTGAATGGTTTCAGCAGGAAAATATGACGAACGACGGACATGGTCAACGTTAACTGTAACATCCTTCAAATTATTTGTCACTTTGAATTTTTTAGCTGCATCTGGAAAATTTGGAAGCATAAATCCAGTTTTCCAACTGAGCATTTTTTTTTTTTTAGGTGAACGAGGTTGTAAAATCCCATGGGATGAAATAAGCCAAAATAAAAAAGAATAGTTGAATAATTACCACACAGGCAGCTCAATTTAATTTTCTGTCGGACCACAATTATGACAAAAACACGTTTTTGAGCCGAAAACATTTTCATATTTTTGACCTTCGTCTGTACTGATTGATTGATTTTTCAAATGTCTACAATTCAGATTTTAAAAGTTTTATGGCTCAACTTGCAGCCTAGTTTTAATCGCGGTTTTTTTGAATTTGAACTAAACGAGTTTCCACGTCTACAAATAATTGCATTGAACCACAAAACTAGGGAACGCGTTTCCGAAGATCTGAAAGAAACTTCCGGATTTTCCACATTTTTTTTTTTTTCGTGGGAAAATGTAGCTTTTTCCCCAGGTTATTTCAAAAAAAAAAGCGAAAAGTGTGTATTTAGATTGTTCAATTCAAGAAAACTTCGAGTGCAGAAGGTTCTTCGCATTTAAACCTGGAGGATAAAATAAATCCTGCTTTCCTGGCACCACATGGCAGCATGTGATGGAGAATTTCTCACCCCGCTAAGTGGAGTTCCGAATGCAATGGCGACTGAAACCGAGGGACCGACGCCCAACACGCGGAATTTTATCAGTAAATATCCCTGAAAAAAAAATTGCGAAATTTTTAACTTTTCATCCCACGTTCCATTGCGCGCGCACACACGAGCAAAGAAACACAAGCAGAACGAAGGATGTTGAAGAAGAAGAAAAACAATCCGCTGCCCGTGATTTTAAAGCAAGGGCAGGGGACTGAATGACAACGAGGAAAATGTCGAGAATTGGGGATTGAAAAAAAAAAGAGAAGAAAAAAATCGAGTGAAGAATTGACAGCGTTTGAGAAGAAAACTCTTTTCGTGTTGTTCACTCGAGAAACAAAAATAGAATCACAGCCGCTGAAATGCGAGCAAGAAGGCAAGAAAATTTTCCTCAGAAAAAAAAAAAAAAATTTTCGAGCACGCGATGTCTCGGAGGAGGACCGGACTTTTTTTTTTTATGATGAAAAGAAATTTGGTGTGATTTCCTCCTTTTTTTTTTAGAACGCGCCCCGAAAAAAAAACTTTTTTTAATGCTTAAAAACAAAATGTTGACGCGGCGCGATCCCCCCCTCAGGATTTTTGATTCGATCCTATGTTTAAACAAAATCAAGAAAAGATACGAACTGGTGCGCTTCGTTTTTTTTTTTTTTTTATCCTCGACTTTTAAGTGAAAAATTTGTTTGGATTTTCAGTTATTCCCAGTTTTGGTTTTTATTTCGTTTATTTATTTTTTTGTTGGGCATTCACCGGTGCTGTTTACTGTACGCTTCTCTCGTTTCGGTTTTCCATGACGTGATCGGTTGAAGAAGAAAAGAGGTTTTTTTTGTTGTTGAGATATCGATGCGCGCGAGTGAAATCGGAGCAGAGCTGGCGGAGGAGTAGGTGTGAGTAAATGAGGCTGAGGAAGGCGTTGTTTGTGCTGCGGACGATGACAATGACGACGACTACGACGACGACGACGACGACGATGACGAGAGGGAAAGTGAAAGGAAGGAGAGGAAAAAAAACATTTGAGGAGCAAACTGTGGGGGTTCTTTTTTTTTGTTGTTTGGGAGGGAAGCGCGGAGAGAATATTTATAAAAACTATTTGCTGTTTCCATGCCAAAATGCCGAGTTTTTGTTTGCTTACGCCCGCGCGCGCACGTCCGCCGACGTACCTACTGTATACTCGTATGCATGCTATTTTATTTCTAGTCGCCGCAGGTGCTAAAAATCACTGCCATGTGTTTCGCAGGTGCAAGCAGTGTTTCCCAGCTGCGGAGAAGCTTGTGTGTCTTGAGTGTTTCATGTGTATGTGGATGTGAGGTGGACGAGGCGCGTGGGTGTTTCAGTGGTTGTCCTCTGAGGGACTCTTTATTTTTGTTCAGACAGCCGACTATACTACTGTCCTTCCGTCGAGAAGAAGTTGTCATGGTGAGTAGACGAACATCCCTTCTTTAAATGCAGCTTAATTTTCTTGCGAGGGGAGTACAAAAATGCATGAATTTTACCTTTTGTGTTCGATGACTTCGATTGGCTGTTCCCCAGTTTCGATCATGTGACAGGAAATGAAGTGGGCCTGTGTAACTTAAATGTAAAATTTTCTTGCGAGGGCAGTACAAAAATGCATGAATTTTACCTTTTGTGTTCGATGACTTCGATTGGCTGTTCCCCAGTTTCGATCATGTGACAGGAAATGAAGTGGGCCTGTGTAACTTAAATGTAATCCCCTTCGTTTGTAATAACAAAAGGAGGACAAATTAAGCAGTCCCTCGTGTAAATTTCTGAATGATCGGAATAAAATTTGTAAAAGTTTCATGCTTTGAGTTACTATAACAATTTCAAGAAATGAACACCAAATAGGTCATGCTTTTTTCTTGTTTGTTTTGATGCAGGATTCAATACCGTATTCACGCTAAAAATTTTACTTAGTTTTAAATAAGGCATTGCCCAATTTTTCAATCAATGGACTGAATATCATATCACAGCCTATCGCATAAAAATTTCCTGATCACTTCTCTATAACTGGTGATCAAGCAAATCTTAGTTTTTCTTGAAGGTAACATTTGCTGCAGAATCAGATGCATTTTCTTGTAACCTCAAGTATTACAATAATTTTGCCTTTAATAAAAAAGAAACTCATCAAAACTATACAGTAAATCTGTGATTGCCCAGTTTTCGATTAACCAGATACTGTACTAGGCTTTATTAGCGTGTCCACGTTTTGATTCACTAAGAGAAAGAAAAGCAGCCGTTATTCCTCTGAATTTTAACATGAGCGATTAAAAAAAAAAGTTACTGTTCATTAGGACTGATGAACTTTGAGATCTACCACAATTGAAACTGTATAACCGCAGTCAATTTAATTTGACTCTTTTTAAAGTTTCTAAATCATTTTTGTGAATAAATTGTCTGTGAAACGTTGTTCAATTTTCCGGTGAAGGCAGTCGATTATTTTCCCAGATAATTCGAGTTATATGAACTATGCTATATTTTCCACATCCAAAAATTTCAATGCACGCATAAATGGCGATTCATGAATTTTCGTTCTTCCCAAAATGACGAAGACCTTCCCTCGCGATAAATATTACAGTACAGCATTTGGAAAGAACGCAAAAAGCAAGCAAACGTGACACTTCAATCTCTTCAAAAAGCAAGACATGTTCGAAATTTTGACGTAAACTTTGGGAACTGCTTGTTGTTCATCAGGAAGACCAACAGCCGCTGGGTTTGAACGAGCACCACAAACAAGAGCTGGTGGATTTCATGCGGTTCTGCAGGTACCA